GACACCGGCGGGACACCGCGCGCCACCGGCCGCCCGGAAGAGACACATTTGGTTCGGCCGCGCCTCAGCCACAGGGACACCAACGGGACACCAGCGGGGCACCGGCGGGACACCGCGCGCCACCGGCCGCCCGGAAGAGACACATTTGGTCCGGCCGCGCCTCAGCCACAGGGACACCGACGGGACACCAGCGGGACACCGGCGGGACACCGCGCGCCACCGGCCGCCCGGAAGAGACACATTTGGTCCGGCCACGCCTCAGCCACAGGAGACTTTCCCTCTCGCCCACGCAGCTTCGCCTCGCCCGCGCGCACGGCACGCACGAACACGAAACCGAAATCGATTTCCCGGTAGGGGGGCTCTCCGTTCCACTTCGATCTCAACCCCGCACCTCCGACTATTCTCAATGCGTGGTGAAATGGAAAACCTATTATATAAATACGTTTTGTAAAACGAGATTCCGGAATCCCGAAATACAAAAAAAAGATTGCAAACAAGAAACCCAAACTATACACCTACATGACAAGCATCTCCGGGCACGCCTGGTTGCGCTCGGCGCGCGCGCGCCCCTCGTCGCCGGCCCTCGTCAGGGCGCCGGTCGCGCCCGGTCCCTGCCAAATGATCGCGGGGCCAATCAAAACGACCGTGCCCGGCACCGCCTCCCACAAGGACAACGCTCACTCATCCGCGCCACGCCGCCCCCCCATACCCCCCCCCGCACGTCGCCCCCCCCCCCCCACCCTCACCTTCCCCGAGACGGCCTGAGAGGAGCCGGAGAATCACTTCTAGATCCGCGCAACACTAGCTCAAACCCTAGCCAACGGGCCTCATCCTCCCGGGGCCCTGTAGGACCCCTTTCGGGGCCTTCCCGAAGCCCCGCAAGAATTCCCAAAAAGCACCTGGACGGCTCAAGAAGCCCCCCCCAACGGGCCCGAAAAAGACCTAAGATTGCGCCCAGAGGCAAGCGAAAAGAGGCACACTCGCGCGCATACTTTGCGCCTCTTTGGGGGGCCCTCTTGGTGCGCTCTTGAAACCATGTTGAAAGATTCCTGGGCTTCTTTTGGGACCTTCATCTCGGGGCCCCGCCGAGGCCCCCCCGAAGTTCCGAATGAGCACCCAGAAAGTTCAACGAGGCTCCAAGAGGCCCAAGGGCCCAAGGAGGAGAACCCCCCCAGTGGCACCCAAGAGGGCCCTCTAGGTGCCACTGTCGGGAGCCTTTCCTTGGACCCTCTTGGGCCCTTTTGGGGCCCTTCCGGGGCGCCTCCCGGGCCCCCCGCGACGCGCCCCCGAAGTCCCGGACGCACCCCGACAGGCCGCGCGCAGCCAAGGTCTCTGAACCCAGGGGGGGCGCCAATGCATTTTGACCCGCGGCCCAAGGGGGCCCTTTCGGAACCCTCTCGGGCCGTCTGGGGCCCATTCCAAATTTCTGGAGGGCTTCGGGGAGGCCCCCGAGAGGAGAGGACCCCAGGAGGATGGATCCCTTTGGCGGGGTGCCCCTCGAGCTTCGCTTCCGGCCCCTCTGGAGCCCTTTGGCGAAGGCCCCCGCGAGGGCGGCCGGCGACGACGCGCTTCCCCGTGCCAACCTGGGCCTGCCATGCAAACCAATCGATGGCGGCGCAACGTCCGCATACAAACAAAACTGCATTGGAGCGGTATGCCAAATAGCTCTCGGCTCGCGAAAGATCAGCGGCGCGCCCCTCCAATGCAAGAGACGCACCAACTAGTGCATACAACAATTGTGCGCACGACACATTGTGTCTGCGCATATGGTTGGTAATTAATTGTCACGCATTCATGAAAACGGTGTTTTTGGCATGTTTCCGCAATCGAATATTTCTGCAAAAGGGTATCCTGTCTGGGCCGACCGACGACACAAGCCGACTGCGCGTCGAGGTAAATGCCGAGGCTGGAGTCGCTCACCCAGCGGCCGCCCTCGCGGATCTCGGAGAACGCGGCGCCCTCGGCGCGGGAGTCGGCACCCCGGCCGGCGCGCGGGCTGCGTGGGCCCCGGCCCACGGTGAGCCCCAGCGCAGCTTCGGCTGCCTTGAGCAAAGTGCGGCATTGCGTGATAGTGCAAGGAAAAGAATATGATCATGAGGAGTCTGCTGCACGCAATTCCAAAAGGCCTCGACGATGTCGGCGCGGCGCCACGGGAGCATGGCCAGGGCCGAAACGCACTCGAAGGGCCAGGACAATCGGATCACACTTTCCGTCGGTAGCACGATGATGAGGGAAGGGAATGCGTTGCGGGCGCGGGCCAAGCATCTCCAACGGCCTGGCCCGAGCCCAGCGTGGCACTGCAGAACCAAGCCTAAGCGAAGCCTCGCGTGTCCTGCCGCCGCCAGGTAGATGCTCAACAGTCTGCCAGGCGCCTTCCCCCAGCGGCAGTGTGCTTGATCACTCGTGACCCTCTCAGCCTCGTAGAACCGCATGTGCCCACTTCAGCTCGCCTTTCATTCTGGGGAAAACACTTTCACCGCCGCCGCGAGATTGCAGAACCTGGGCGGTGTCAATAAGGACTCGCATGCATTCTTGCACCCCACCAGCGCGTCGCCCCACTGGCCAGGGCCGACGGGGTCAAGGTGGTCGACGAAGACCCAAGCAGCGAAGCACCAGGCTTCCCTCCTGTACGTCTCGATCGTCTGCGGCTTGACCCGCGCAGCTTGGCGGCGGCCCAGGCGCCGCGGCCCGCGCCGCCTCATTTACGACGCGACGACGCGACAGCCAATCTGCTGCCTGGCGCTTGGTATCCACCCAGGGCAGCGCGCGCAAGATGCCTGCAGCCAAACATCGAGCAGCTCGTCGTCGAAGATTTAATTTGAGCCCTGCTACCGACGAGCGCCCTTTGGCCATGGCCGCTGAGAAGCCCTCGCTGTCCTCCAGGTTGGCGACCAAGTAGCCGCGCGCCCCAGGGGCGCGACTGAGCGCGGCGAGTTACTTCAGCGCTGCCCTGCCCTCGCCCTGTGGTCTGGGCGTTGCCATCGCCCCGATCCCAGCTCGACCCAGTCGCAGTCTGGCTTCTCGAGGAGGCTCCTCGGGGCCCAGGAGACCGCGCTGCGGTTCGCGATCTCCTTGTCGGCCCCGTTGAGGTGGCCGGCCCTGCCGCCCAGCCCGGCGACGGCGCGGCCAGGCCGCGCCCCCGCGGCCACCTACTCCTCGCGCGCGTCGAGGTCCGCAGCGGTCCCAACGATCCCGCGCCCGCCGAAGTCGCCCTCGTTCGGGCCCTCGGCGTCGTGCGAGAACGCTGGCGGCACCGCGGGGGCATTCAGCGCGCGCTCCATCGACTGCGCCAGGTGGGACATGGCCTTCAGAGGAAATTGGCCGATGCGTGTGCGCACACTGCCGCGCGCTCCACCTTCCGCCGCGCGCTAGCGGGCTCTGCCGCCACCTCCCGGGCGCGCCTGGCAGCAGCGGCTGCCGGCGCTCTTCGTGCTGTGGTCCGGGGGCGCAGGGCAGCCTGCGGATGCAGGCCGCCGGCGCCCCCAGGGTTTCTTCGCGCGCCGGCACCTGCGCGGCGCCCGCGCGCGTCGCGCCCAGGCGGCGCCGCACCGTGCGCGCCGCCGGCCGCTCTCAAAGCCTGCGCCGCCGCCCCCATCATGACGGCGCTGCCGCTGCGAATGCTGTGCAAGGCCCGCCGCGGGAAAGCCCGCGGGCCTGGCCTGCCGCGGGCTCCAGCGCGGTGCCAGCTGCCCTCGGGCGCCCAACCGCTTCCGCCCCGGCGCCCTGCTGCCCGCGAGCGCACAGCTGCCCGCGGGCGCTTGAAATGCCGCGCCCGGCGCAGGGCGCCTGCGCGGGCCCCGCGCGCCAGGCCGAGGCCGGCGGCGGAGGCCTCTCTCCACCTCTCTCGCTCGCAAGGCCCTTGGCCGGCGGCGCCGTCGATCAGCCGCGATGCGGCTTGGTGGCCACCTCTCGCGTGGCCTCGCCCCCGCGCTGGAACCCCTGGCTCTTGTGGAGGTAGCGGGTGCCGTTGTAGTGCGCCGGCCCTTGGACCCCCGCGTCGCACTAGATCACCATGGGCTTCCTGGGTGGCTTCTGATTGCCCCCCGCCACCTCCCCCGGCATCCCGCGCAAGCCCTGGGGCCGGCGGCCCTGCCTCGGGCTGCGCCAACAGTGCCAGGCCAGTGCCAGAGCCGCGGCCAGCACCACCGCCAGGGAGACGATGCGCTTCACCATGATTTCCAGGGGGATCGCGATGATGACGCCCCCCTTGCCCTCGACCAGGCGCGCGCTGACGCGCCCCTGGTCCCCCTTCACCGTCGCCAATTCCTGGCCGGTCGCCGCCGCCTGCCCCAGCGCGGCCGCGGCCGCGGTTGCGGCTCCCAGAGCCGAAAAGCTTCTGGGGGGAGCTCGCCTGGCGTCAGCGCCGGCGGCCCCCCCCTGAGGCCTCGCCGCGGGCGTCGTCAACTCCGAGCGGTCGTTGGCCATGCGCAGAGCCACATCGCGCTGCGGCTCGTGCGACTACCAGAGGTAGGCGTGGAACGAGTCCGACGCCCATCTCCCGCACCTCTGGACCCTGGAGAGGTCGTCCGTGACGTGGTACATCGCCGTGGCCCCGCCGATCCTCAGGGAGTGGAGCCGATCTCCCCCCGCCTGCATGAGGCCTGCCGCTAGACCTGCCAGCGTGAGAAAGCGCTGCACCTCCTCGCGCTTCACCGGGGCGCCCGAAGCCCACCGGAAGCGGGGCAGCCGCGCCTCCGCGCCGTGGTCGAAGCGCTGCGGGTGCTGCGCCTGCATGGCCGCAAGGGCCTCGATCGGGCAGTGTGCCGAGTGGGTGGCGTACTGGTTGCGCACCATCCCCACGTTGTATTGGTCCGTCTCCGCTTTTGATGTGCAGGACGCGCTCGTCTGCTCGGGCGAACTGGCCGGCGCGCTCGCCCCCGGACCTCGCCTCTACGTCCTCGCCGTGGACTGCCCTCTCGACGGACCAGGGCGCGTCCGTCACCAGGTACTCCGACGCCCGCAGGAGGAAGAAGAAAGCGACGAGGACCACGGCGCACAACGTGGCGGCGCTGGCTGGACTGAGGCCCGCGTCTCGGGTGCTGCTTCAGCCGCGGGAACATCCGCGGGGTGACCAGCCTCTCGCGCCGGCTGCTGGGGCCCTGGAGCCTCTTCAGGCCGGCCAGGGTCGTCCACGGCCGTCCACGGTGAAGGGGCGGGTCGCTGTGCCCGACGTCCAAGTGGGCGTACCTGATGGCGAACAGCTTCTGCTTCACCGCCCCCTCGGTGCGCGACAACACCACCGCCAAGATGATCGCGAAATCGATCAGGGCGTCCTCGTCGCTGGTCCGCTCGGCTGCCCCGGCCCTGGAGCCACGGCTCGTGGCCCTGCGCGGCGCGGTGGGCGGTCCACTGCAGCCAGCCGCCCTCCTACCCGCTGCGGGCGCCTTCGCTGAGCTTCTGGAGCATCACCTCGGTCCTCTGGTCGCGGAGCAACTCTCCGTAGCGCTCCCCTCCCACCGCAGGGTGCGCGGGCGGCGGCGGCAGGTTTTCGCGCGCCTGCCCCAGCGCCAGTGGCTGGACCAGGTCGGACGTCGCTGCAGCACGCCCCTTACGGGCCAACCTCGGGAGCGCGCCTCCGGGGGCGCGCGGGCGGGTCGGGGTCGTGTCCAGCTTGAGATCGCCAGCCGCTGGCGGCGCATCTGGGCCGAGGATGGCATCCTCGCTGATCTGCTTGAAGCGAATCACCTGGCTCTTGCGCCGCCTCTCGTGGATCTCCCCGGAGAGCGCGCCCCCGGCCGCCTCCCTATCCTGGCGCGGGGTTCCCGCCGCCGGATTGTCCGGGGCGATGGCCCAGGCACGGAACCACGTCTGCGTGGCCTCCCAGGGTCGTGGCAGACCCCGACCTTGTCAGTGTCCGCGCCCAGCGCCTGCGCGATCGCCCTGAACACCGTCTGCGCGGATTCTGGAGGCAGAGCCCGCGCCGCCGCACGAAGCAGCTCCTCGTCGGCGGTCCCATCAGCCAGGTGCGTGCCCCGTGCAGCGTCGCTACAACCCTGGATGCGCCAGACACCCCGCGGCGCGAGCGCCCTCGCCTTCCCGTGCGCGCCGCCTGGGATATACAGCAGCGTAGCGCCGGGTCCTGTGGGCTCCTGTCCTGGCCACCGGGGGGTGCCGGCGGGGCCGTCTGGGCTGCGCAGCAGGTGCTTGACCCCCTCGATTGTGATGTGCCCGGCCAGCTTCGGCAGCAATGGGCTGCCCGTGGCGCGGATCTTGGGGTCGAGGAGGACCCCCTCCCCCTGGTCCCTGACATCCGCCAGCCCTAATTTAATTGAGACGGCTCCAAAGTATTGATTTTTGGATTCAACTTCAAATTTCCGTTTCGGATATTTACGTCGACGATTGCCAATGTGTGTCAATGCGCCAATGTGCCATACAGGTGCCAATGTGCCATTGTGTCATTGTGCCAATGTGCCAATGTGTCAATGTGGCAATGTGGCAATTGTGTGCATGTGTGGGCGCGCGTGGGGAGTTCTGCATTGTCCACAATATAAAAGTCGACATTGATTTCCCAAAACTAAATTTGATTTTTCTGAGGCCCTTAGGAGGCCGACGGAGGGTGGGTCACCGGCGCTTGCGCGCGCTGGAAAGTTCTGCATGTGTATGTATATATAATTATATTAAAAGTATATATAAGTATATATACATATACGTGTGCAAATATGTACGTATATATAAATATGTATATATATACATGTGCGTGCGTTACTATCTTCTAATCGAGTTTAAACATACGATTAAATGCGTTACGGTACTATATAATAATATGACATGGTTACGCGTGTCAACATCCATACATTTCACACCTGCTTTGGACCACGTACGTGTATATATGACCATCTGATAAAACAAAAAAACTCGGAGCTCCTCCCTCCCTCCCCGCCTCCCTCCTCGGGCCCCTTTCTCTTAGGGGGGCGCGCGCGCGAGCTGGCGTGCTGCGTGCGCGCGAGCTGGCGTGCTGCTCGCGGCTCGAGCGCGCGGGCGCGCCGCGCGCTCCAGAGGGCGCTCGCGCGCCCCGCGCGCGCCGCGCGCCAGAGCCCCCCCCCACCCCCCCCGCAGAGCAGCGCCACGGAGGCACGGGTTGGAAAGGGGGCGGGCGGGTTCGTTCGTGAGCTCTGGCACGCCATTTGATCTTTTCGGCGCCCATGCGCCTCGGGGGTGGCCGTGCCAGAACTCACGGGCGCGTGACGTACATCGGCACGGCCGCCCCGAGGCACATGGACGCCGAAGAGCTCAAGCAGGTGGCTGGCCAACAAGATCGACATCGCGTGCGATGTCGCAGGGGTGCCTGCGTGGTGCCCAGAGGACCTCCTCTTCCCCCCCCCTCCTCCTCCAGAGTCCCAATCTTGACTCCTCATCCTTACCCTGCCCTTACTCTCCTCCTCCTCCTCCTCCTCCTCCTCCTCCTCCTCCTCCTCCTTCTCCTGCTCCCCCTCCCCCCGTGTTTCGCGTCCGAGAGGACGTGCCCAAACCGAGGGTCCTCTCGGACACGCAGCAGGGGCAGTTCGGCCCTCGGCCCCCACGGAGGCTGCGCCGACAGATGCGGCGAGAATTCGTCGCGCGGTGGAGGTCCCACGTGAGCTGGTGAATTCCGAGGTCCTCCTCCTCCTCCTCCTCCCTCCCTCATTCGCGCCGTCCTCCTCCTCCTCCTCCTCCTCCTCCTCCTCCTCCTCCTCCTCCTCCTCCTCCTCCTCCTCCTCCTCCTCCCCCTCCTCCCCCTCTTCCTCCTCCCTCGTTGTCGCCGTCCCATCGCTCCTCCTGCCAGTCGTCGTCGTCGATCGTCGTCCCCATCCTCCTCGTCGCCCGTCGTCGTCCTCGAGTCACCCTGCACCTTCTCCTCGTGCTCGTCCTCTCCGCTCTTCTCGCGCCCCGCGCGCAGCCAGGCCATGGCCAAAGCTGCGCCGAAGCATGTGAAGACCGCCGACGTCTCGCCAGAGACGGTGAAGGAGGCGCGGGTATTGGAGGGGAGGACGAGGAGCGAGGGTTTTGAGGAGGGATGGGGATGGCTTCAAGAAGGAATGGGGGAAGGTTTCAAGTAGGGATGGGGAGGGGGGTTCAAGACGAGAGGTGGCTCGAGTGGAAGGATGGGAAGAAGTGAGGGCCAAGCAACGCCATGGGGAGATGAGGAGGAACGGGCAGGGCATGGGGGCCCGAGCGCCGCGCGAGGCCATGCTGCACGAGACATTGATGGACGACTGGCCCGTGATTGAAGGCCGCCCACGGCGATCGACGACGATCGATCGACGACGATCGGCGACGACGACGATCGACGATCGCCGATCGACGGCGGCGATCGACGATATCGACGACCGACGATCGCTATCGAGGACGATCGACGACGACGATCGACGATCGACGTACGACCGACGAGGACGATCGACTGGTTTCGATGGCGATGGCGGTGGAGTGCGACGTCGAGTTCGGCTGTGGCGGTGATGGTGGTGGTGATGCTGATGATTATGATGATGGCGGTGATGGTGATGATAGTGCTGATGATACTGTCGATACCGATTGTGATGACGACGGTCATAGTGATGAGGATGGTGATGATGATGGTGATGATGTTGATGGTGGTGGTGGCGATGATGATCCCAAATTCCCAGTCGAGCGGCGAATGGCGATGACGGTGAGGACCGATACGCGCACGCATGCGTCGACGGCGCCGAGGCGACGACGAGGCAAACAGCGGTGGTGATCGAGGACGATTCTCACCAATCGCCCTCCCTCGTCTGGGTATCCTCCCTTTCTCCTCCCAACCCCCCCACCCTCTGCATCCTCGCTTCCACCTCCCACCACCCTACCTGCATCCGAGCGGTGTCCACCCCGCGCCACTCCACACATCTCACCGTCCGCATCGCTCCCTCGCCCCATGTAGTCGCTATAGCCCCTCACGGGCGCCGCGTCGGCAAGATTCACGATCCCCAACTACGGGATCTATGATTGCAAGAATTCCTCCGAGTGCCCGAAGCTGACCGTGCTGACGGAGATAAGGGGTGGTCAGGATGAGGAGAGCATGAGCAGGCGATGCGTGACATGAGAAGGCGGAGGGGTCTTGAGGATAATATGGGGAGGCGACGCGTGGTATGAGGAGGCGGAGGGGTGTCAGGAGGACTGAGCACGAGCACGAGGAGGATGACAGGATGTGATTCTAGCCCCAAGCCCTTACCCCAGCTCACTCGGGTTCGCCTTAAGTCACCGAACTTCGCATACGCCCTCACCCTTCACGACGCACGCGCCCTGGTCCTCAATACAGGCGGTCCTCGCCCAGTCTTTCCGCACATCCACCCTCATCATGTTTGCGTGCCCTACTCCTGCATTGGTCCATCCTGCTCCTCCTCGCCCTCCACGTCCTCGTCCTCCCCATGGCCCTCGAGAGGATGGAGGGAGCCCCCCCAAGTCCTCCGAGCTGCCGTTCCTGAGGATTTCGTGCCAACCTTGGAGAATCTGCACCGTGCAGCTGACGGGAAGCGCATCTCCCAGAAGCGCATGGAGGCACCTAACTCGACTTGTGCTCGCTCTCTCTCTCTCTCTCTCTCTCTCTTTGCTGCGAATCCTCATCGTCCTCCTCATCCGTCTCCTCCTCCTCATCCGCTTCCTCTTCGTCGTCGTCGTCTTCCTCCTCCTCCTCCTCCGCCCCTCGTCGGCCTTGAGGCGCCGTTCCAGAGCATGCGTCGTTGGCCAACTGGATAGTTTGAAATGCGTTCCCAAATCCACCCTGAGGGCAGGAGTGGAACATCGTTCCCGTTCTGCCTTCAAGGGGTTCCTGCTCCAACTTCAAGGTGGATTTTGGAACGCAACATCTGCTGGGGCGGGCCTGGCCCAGCGCTGCCAGGAAGAAACAGGTCGCATGAAAGACGAGGAAGGTGTTGGCGGGAAAGAGCAAGGGGAGACAGATAGGCGAGGGTGCACTTGTCCTTCCTCCTCGCACCTACCCCTGCGTAGGCGGGATGAGACCTCGCCTGGGCTTCGACGTTCGTGAACGAGTACAAAACTGCCAAGGGACGGACGCCGACCGCGATGATATTGGCAGGATACACGCACCTCGCTCTGCTGCGCGACGTGTTGAGAGCAGGAAGAGTGGCGTTAAGAGGGGAGAAGGTTGACAGACCTAAGAGGAGGGGGAGGTGAGAGGGAAAGGAGGTCAGAAGCAAGAGAAGAGGTCAAATGAGAAAGAACGATGAGCTCCAAAAACGGGTGAATGCAAGCCCATCTTGGGCCGTGTTTTCAAACCACCTTTCTTGGTTAGCCTCGCACCGCCTTTCTGAACAACCGTTCCCCCTCGCAACGTTTGGTTGGTTCAAGCTTCCGACAAAAACTAAGATGTCCGTTGTTGGCGCCCAATGATGAGTCAAGGTGGGAGGTTAGAGGGCACGAGGATGTAAGAGGTAAGAGATATGATATGATCCACTCTGTCATGTTACTCATTGTGTTTCTGTCAATGGCGATTGCAATTGAAGCTTACAATTGTTCTCCTCTGCCATGGTCGTATCCAAGCCACCCTATGTCGCTCCATTATCTCCCCTGGGATTCATCGGAGGTACGTCCAGTGCAGGAGCCTGGGGATCATGCTGGCACACTACCAGAAGAACTTGACTGCGTTTGGCCTCGAGAGCTCCAGCCGCTACGAGGCGCACATACATGACCACTTCTTATTGTTGTTTGCTCATGTGCCACTGCATTGTTCATGGGATGATGGATGGAGGCATCGATGGCGATGGAAAGGAAGTGCGCGGAGGTGGACGGTGGCGGAGGAGGAGGGGGAGGAGGGAGAGGAGGAGGAGGAGGAGCCGAAGGAGGAGGGGCAGAGCAACAGGAAAAAAGGGTGAGCGGAGGAGTGATCAGGCAAAAGAGGGTGGACAGAAACGGAGTAGAGTGGAGAAGCGAGGAGCGAGGATGAGAGCGAAGGTCACTAGCGATCGGGAGGGGGTTGCAGAAAACATGTAAAGCTTGAGAATTGAGACCTTGATGAGGAGAAGAGGGACAGAAAGAGAGAGAGAGAGAGAGAAAGATAGACAGAGAAAGAGAGATCGAGAGATAAAGTAGCCGCAGACCGCCAGGACACGACGCACGACATCGAGGAGATCGACCCAGACCAGCTCGAACGCTACTTCAAGATGATGCGTGGAGAGGACTGGCTTTCCACGCCTTTCCCTCTCGGTGACTTTCCTCGCCTATCCCCCTCTCGGTTTCCCTCGCACATCTCCTCCCCCTCAGCTCCCCCTCCTCCCGTTGCCAACTCCCCTCCCCATGGGGTCTCCATTGCTCCGCCCTCTCCTACTCTTCCCTCCTGCACTCTCATCCTTCCTCCTCCCCTTCTCCTACTCTTCCCTCCTGCAGTCTCTTCCCTCCTGCACTCTCAACCTCCTCCTCTCCTACCCTTCCCTCCTACTCTTCCCTCGCCGTCTCCTGCTTCCCTCCTGCACTCTCATCCTTCCTTCCTCTCCTACTCGCCTGTCCTGGCGTTCCCCCCCTCCACCTCCCATCCTCATCTCGATCGGCATCGTCCCCCTACTCCTTCACCGAACTCATTGCTGCATAGAAATAGACGGCGTCCTCCGTAGAGGACCCTGGCCCTGATATTATGATGGTGGACGACGGCGAAGATTCGCTACCGACGGGCGTCGACACCACGGGTCCTGATACCCTGGTCGAGGATGATGATGAGGATGATGATTTCGACGAAAGTATTTTCGAGCCGCTGCAGCCAGGCATGGACCCGACAGGTCAGCCAGCGACGGCACCGACAGGTCAGCCAGCGACGGACCCGACAGGTCAGCCAGCGACGGACCCGACGGGAGGTCAGCCAGCGCAGGCACCGACAGGTCAGCCAGCGACGGCACCGACAGGAGGTCAGCCAGCGATCGCACCGACAGGTCAGCCAGCGATCGCACCGACAGGAGGTCAGCCAGCGCAGGCACCGACGGGAGGTCAGCCAGCGACGGCAGGAGGTCAGCCAGCGACGGCACGGACAGGAGGTCAACCAGCGACGGCACCGACGGGAGGTCAGCCAGCGACGGCACCGACAGGAGGTCAGCCAGCGACGGCACATACAGGAGGTCAGCCAGCGATCGCACCGACAGGAGGTCAGCCAGCGACGTCGGCACCATCAGGAGGTCAGCCAGCGACGTCGGCACCATCAGGAGGTCAGCCAGCTGTGCCGGATCTCCCGTTCATGGGCAGCCTGATGGCCACGGGCAGCAGCAGTCACCACGACGCGAAGCGGGCTGCGGGCGCGTTGTCGCCATTGAGGCCGCCTCCCACACCCAAGAAGAAGGCCAAGAAGAAGGCCAAGGCGGCGGCCAGTGGCGCCAACAAGAGGCCTGCCGCAGCCCCCAAGACTGTCGCCAAGGCGAAGGCCAAGATGAAGGCCAAGGCGGCGCCCGCGGTCGTGAAGCCATCGGATGATCACGACGAGGATCTAGATGAGGAAGAGGAGGGCGAGGACACCGACGAGGAGGGCGAGCAAGGCGAGTCCGAGTTAGAGATGGTGGCTGATCCCGTCATCGAGGTCCAGGGCGACGACGTGATCGCCGCGGACAGCGTCGCCGCCGTTGACGGCGGCGGCGGCGGCGGCGAGCACGGTGGCGACGACGGTACCTACGCGTGGCCGCCGACGGACGAGTTCGGCACACAGCACGGCTACGACGTGGGCGACAAGCATGTGAACCTCAAGCTGAAGCGCAGGCAGAGCGAGGGCATCTCGTGCATCTTCTACAGGATCGACACCACGGAGGGTGCAGGGACCTGGAAGCAGCTCCTCCAGGTGTCCGACGCGAAGTTTTCGGACGAGAACTTGCGGCACCTGGAGGTGGCGACGGCGACGGACGCTGCCCAGGCCTGCATCCTCCACATCTTCAACCAGCTCTGCAAGATGCAGGTCGGCAGCGACAACATTGACGGCATCAAGGGCGCGGCGCTGCAGGCCAGGACCAAGGCGTTCACCGACCTCGGCGTAGCATAAAAAGTCTGGGGGGTGGGAAGTGGGGACGAGTGTGGGTACTGGGACCGGCGTGGATGGGGAGGACTGGAGGCATGACGTCGTATTGCTCTAGGCTCGGAACAAGAATACAAGCTAAGGCAGTGCGACCTTCTGATGTTGTTGGTGCATTTAGCTTGACATGTAAGTAACCATAGTGGCTCAGGTCCACTGGGGTATGTCACGGAGTCGTCCGTGTTCCTTTTCTGTAAATGAAATGATGTCAGTTGTTATCTATTGTGGGATTGGAGGTCCACTCGGACATGAAGTACCACTGTCCCTTCACGTATTGCTGCTGGGCTGGGAGGCTGCGGATTAGCAGGGGAAGCAGTGGGTAGTCGATCCTCCAAGTCTCCCTCCTCTTCTCCTTCCATTCTCCGTCTCGCTCTCCCGCTCCTCCACTAATCGGTAGCGCTAAACCCCTCCATCCCCAGGGCGAGAGCGAGCAACGAAATGGAGATCATATGAGCAGGGTTAAATGGAGAGGAGATCCAGAGAGCGACAGGCGAGCAAGCAGAAACGATCTTGTTTGCAGGCTGGCTATATTTCGTGAGCTGCGCTACCAACCAGAAGATCGGTTAGTATTGGTTCACGCTGGAGGCGACGAGGGTCGAAAGACCCAGGGAAGGGAGACGGACGACCGAAGACCATGGGATGGTCGGAGGGAGGGACGACGATGGACGACGGACGGAGGGACGGTCGGCTACGGCGGCTACGGACGACCGACGACGAGCGACGGACGGCCGACGAGTACGGCTAACGCACGGACGACCACGACGGCACGGTGAACTGACGAACGACGGACGACTGACGAACGACGGACGACGGTCGACGACCGACGGTTTACCTCGCCTCTGGCAGGTGACCGCCTGAGCCGACGTACGGCACATGGGGCGTCATCGAGAAGCTGCGGGGGGGGGGGGCGAGCGCCGCTCAAGCTTGCGTTTTTTTCTTTGTGAAGCTGCAGCGCTCGAGGATGAGAGGCAGGGGGGTGGTCATGAGCTGGGATCGGTAGTCACAATAGGCGCTGCAGCTTAACACACAGCCCGTAAGAGTGCAGATCGCTGGAACAGAGCATGCCTGAGAGCGTGCGCTGGAGCATCGCTGGAACAAGCGTGCCTGAGAGCACGCGCTGGAGCATCGCTGGTGTCTGACGAGCGCTGGAACAAAGCATGCGGTGGATCAGAGCGTTGGTATTTGGCGTGGAGTGCGCGGCATCGGAAGTTCCAGTCAGAGTACACACATGCATGCACACATACACGCCTGCAGACATGCATGTTTGTGTGTGCATACAAAAGCACGTGCATAGATGCACATACGTGCATTCAGATACCCATACACACAGGCACACACGAATACACATACACGTAGATATACACGCACGCCGAGTCTATAAACATATAGGTGCGCGCATGTGTACATATATACATGTGCATGCATCCAAACATACCTACACGTACACAGCAATACATATCTCCATCTTCCCCAAATCTGTACTCTTCCCATCCCCCTCACCTCTCCCTCTCCGTCCCGTCCCCATCCCCTTTCCCTCCTTACCGTCTCCCGTTCCCCTCCCCCCCCCGCCCCACTCCCGCAACCCTCACCTCCCGTCGTTCTGTGATCGCCCGTCACTCCCAAGAGAGAGAGTTCCGTGCCGTACAGATTGCCAGATTGCTCGAGCTGTTCCCAGCTCCAGCGCGAGCCCCTGCCCGAGTGGGCACCAGCAGCAGGCGAACGGGGAGATCGCAGTCCATGAGAATGGGGAAGCATGGTCGACGACTGGGGAACGGGGGAAGGATATGAGATACGGGTGGCGGTGGTCATGGGATGAGGGTGGACAGCGGTGGCATTGCGCAGGAGATGCGATCAGACGTTCAATATGCGGTGGGACCTACGCATGCAGGTAGATATGTTTAAATATACACGCGCGCACGCATACATAAACGTTTACTGTGCACCTACAGACTACATGTGCACATACAGACATACAGACATTCGCATGTACCCGTAAAAGTTTATACCCATGCATGCACACATGCACTTACCTTACAACCAAACACACATAAGCCTGCACACACATGCAAGCATCACCATACGCACCATCCGCACGCACACACGCGCGCATGACCTGTACACCTACAACTGCATGCATACACAGACACACGTGTATGTGTATACACATGGCACATGCAAGTCCACACACATGCCCATAGAAACCGTCAACCACACATACACACAGCCATACATACTTACACCTACGTGTACATGCATACACCGCATATACCCACCATGCGGGACTGCGCACATACATGCACATATGCGCGAATTGTTGCACATGTGTGCAGACGCGCGTGCATACACACGTACACTCGACATATGTACGTGCAATCATGCGTACATAAAACACCCCAACACACATACTGGCATCCATGTATGCCCACACACCCACACGCGCATACACACACCCACGCACACACAAACATACACGCCGAGGCAGCCGCACACGCATACTTACATACATGTCCACGTACACACATATACACACATACACCGCCCATGTACATATACACACACGCGCGCGCATGCACATACTCACGCGCAGGCGCGCAGGCACCCCCCCCTCCCGCCCACCCCCCCTGAAACGCGCATAGATCACCCCTTTCCCCCCCGTCCGACCATCCGTCGTCGTATCGTTATGTACAATTTTTGGGGACCGCATGAGAGGGGGTCGAGCGCGGCGCGCAGAGCACATCGCATGGGTGGGGCGGGGGCAGAGAGGGCACTGCAAAGTGGCGAGGGAGCGCAGCAACGCGGAGTCGAGTGCCTGCCCAGGTGCACCTGGGCTCCATCGGTGCTGGACTTATACGACATGACTGGGCGTCTCGACACGCTGGGCGGCACGGCAGCACAGACTTGCACTGCTGTGGGACGCGCCCCCGCACCCCAGTCGGCGCCCAATCCCCCCTGAGGCGGGTCGGGGTTCATCGGGGTCCTCGGGGGGGCTGGATCGATTGTCCCAGGGCCCCGATGCGCGTCGCTAAGCCCATGCTAGCTTGTAGGAAGATGGGCCAAGCCCCCCTACCCGCGCCCCAACCCCATGATGGCCCCCAGGCCCGCATTCGGAGATGCCCGACCCGCCCCGAAGCCGACCCGCCCCGTCCCCGAGCGCTCCCGTTTGCTTGTCCACGCCTGGCCAAGGCCCCCCGAGCGCGCGCGACGTGCCCCCCCCTCGTTGTGGTTCCTTTGTCGAGCGCCCGAACGTGCGCGCGATGCGTTCGCGGCACTGCCACGCGGCAAGTTGTTTGTTTTCATGTTGTGTTAATGGTTTGCGATTTGTTTGTTAACATTTTCATGGTTTTATAATGGTTTTTAATGTGTTTAATGTTTTAAAATGTTTTGTAATGTTTTGTATATAATGCTTTCTGTTGGTTTGTAATATTTTTATGATTTTTAATGTTTCGTAATGTTTGTATGGTTTTCTAATGTTTCGTAATGTTTGTTTTTTATCAAAAAATGTGTTTAAGGTGTTGTAATGTGGTTCATGTTTTGTAATGGTTCGGAATGTGTTTGTGCGTTGTTTTTTAATGTGCTTAATTGTTTTCATTGTGTTTTCAATGGTTCGTAATGTCTTGCATGCGTTGGTGTTAATGTTTCTTTTATGGTTTAATGGTTGTTTAATATTGTTTAAGGTTTTCATGTGTTTTAATGGTTTCTAATGTTTTTTAAATGTTTTCCATGTGTTCTCATTGGCCCAGCGCGCCTGGGGCCCCTCCAACCCGCTTCCCAACGCGCCCCGAGCCCCCCCCCCCCCCCACCCCCTTCCCCGCGCGCCCGAAGCCCCAACACCCCTCCTTGCGCGCCCCGAGTCACCCCCTCGCCGCGTCCCCGTGCGGTTCTGAGCCACCCTCGCCCTATCCGCGCGCACCACCGATCCCCGCGCGCCCCGATCCCCCTCCCCCCCGAGCCCTGCGCGCCGAGGCGAACCCATGCCCTCCCCGCCCCGCCCCGCCCCGCGCGCTCGAACGGCGCGCCGATCGTTAACTTGCTGTCTGGGCTTGAACTGCGAGGTCGGGGTCGGGGCTGGTACCGAAGTCGCAGCCCGACGCGCGCGCCCCCTGGGGCCGTGGCGGGCACGGGCGATGCGCGCGCGCACACGCACCACGCACGTCACACGCGCGCATGATCTCAGGTGGCCACTGTGCCAGTCTCTGTGCCCAAAGGGCAACGCGCTGCAGGCGACGGGGAGATCGCGCCCCCGCCCATACATGTCTGAATATTGCAGCCGAAAAAATGGAGGTGGTGGGGGGATGCGGGAAGGACGGATAGGATGGACGAAGGGGGAGCGTGGAAGAGGGGGGGGGACTGGAGGGAGGGCAGACATGAAGGTCAGGGAGAGCATCCATGTCTGAATATTGCGGTGCATGTCAGTTGAACGTGTGTATGCAGATAGAACTTGCCAGTGCCACTTACTCGTATTCGAGCCTGTGGATATTTACGAAGGGCGCCGCCGACTGGCTCGGGTCAGCCCTTTTTTTCGTCCTGGGACAGGGAGGCGAGATGGCCCCGAAGAAGCGCATGACAGATGCTGAGAGAAAGGAGAAGGCGAAGCCCCGCAGGGCGAACCCCGAAAAGAAGGAGCACGAGAACGAACTCCAGCGCTTGAGGAGTCTCTGGGCACTGGGAGTAGACAGGCGAGACTGCCGAGGGAGGACCACGAGGGAGGATAGGGGGAGTGAGAAGCGAGGGGGAGGAGACGAAAAGGAAAACGACGAGAGGACGAGGACGAAGATGGGGAGGGAGAAGAAGCGAAAAGGAAAACGACTACGAACAAGAGGCCCGACGGCAAGGATGAGGAAACGGATAAGGAAATAACGAGCGAAAACACATGTAGCAATGCATGACAGAAGGAAACGGGGCAGGAACCACATGGCCAAGGAGAGCAAGGCGGTGCGAAAGGAGTTCAAGCAATTGAGGGGCAAGGCCAA